AAGCCATGGCAAAACCCCTGTGGAGATTTTGCCAAGAAAACCCAAAGAACAAGTAATAACAACAATAATATCATCATGGCGGGCGGCAGTGGGCGGCGGGGAGTGCAGCGGCGGCAGGACCAGCCTGGGGCCAGTCCAAAGGCCTCAAGGGGCCGCGTCCGGCCCCTGGGCCTTAGGTTGTCTACCCCTGCATTAAATGTACATTTCATAACATTTGCTTTCTTGTGAATATCCTGAATTTTGCAATTCTTTCAAGCATTACCGATTCCTGCAGCTCTGCTTTAATTTACAGTTTCTTCACACACATATGTACAAATACAGTGTTATTTCATTGTGGACTGCCATAAAATCAGTTTTAAATAAAGGATTGTGCCCGATGGTGTCCTTCCACCACCGGAATAGACCCCATGGGCAGATCAAATTCTTCCAGTACCTCCACATGTATGCACACACAAACACACCCCAATTTGTTTCAGAAACCTGAGGAGGAAGAGAAGGGAGGAAACCCTTTGTGTGAGTGGAGGACCATTTGAATATATTAGGTTTTAACTCTAAAGTACCAGCTTTTGCCCCTATATGTGAAAGGATATTGAGTGATCTGGGGTGTATGTCTGTGTGTGTATTTGTGTGTTGCATTAAGAGTGGTAACCCAGAAAGAGAAGAGTGTAGCTTTTCACAGGTTGCCTCAGGAAAAACTGGTGCAAGCTCTTTGAAAAAATCATAATGGAACAAATCACACACTGCTGAGTTTAAAAACACTTGCAGAACAGTGACATGACATCATGCACAGCAGAATTTATGGGAAAATGAAGACCCTTCAGTGTGGGTACGTAGAGGCAGGGAAGCTTCAGTCTGCAAGAAATCCCTTGCTATAATGTATAATCAGGTCTGTTTGCTCTAATTAAGAATATATTGATCTTTTTACAAGACACGCTGAATGCTGCTGCATCTTGCAAAATGTTAACTGCACAGATAAACTGGCTCTTCGGCTTAGTAACAGAGATGAGCACCACCCCCTATGGTCAGACACGACTTGACAACCTTGGCAACAGGGAATACCTTTACCCTTACTCAAACTGTACATTAGGGTATAAATACCAAACGAGAAACAGTTGTTCTAAAATGAGAAGTGCATGAAGTCTTATTTAATCTAAAGCATGACTTTAACATTAAACACATCCTCCTATGGTACAGGTCTCAACATGCTATTAGTGGACACAACAAAGCCAATGAGAACTGTTTTGACTCCCCAGCTTAATACCTCTATTTTTATTTTTTTTAAAAAATAACTAGGGAGCTGAAATGGTACCCCGCTGTATTCTAGTGTCATGTTTATTACCAAGGATGTCTCGTCCCAAAGAAATTTTTAGAAAATAGTTAGGCAGGTGAATGGCATATGTTTTGTCTTGTTTTGGTTGAAGTGCACGCAGCTGCCAGAAAACTGAAACTGTTAAGTTGGGTGGTAGAGTGCATCATGAGGGTTTAAGGGGATAATGTGGAATAGAGAGGGGTATTCATTTTGCTGGTGTGCACGTGTGTGAAGGTGTGGCTAAACATCACCAATTTGCCTTCAGTGAAAATGGTCACTTTATAGTCTTTCCTGGGACCAAATATGTGATCTGTTGCTTTAGATTCGGACCCCACCTCTTCTGCGTACTTGGTTTCTCACCCAGGTTACTCGTCTCTGAGACTCATGAGTTTGCCTTCTGTGAAATGGGTATTGGACCAGAAAGCTCTGCGTTCAAGAAAGCTTTCTGTTTTAGAGTCCAGACCCCATCTCTGCTTTTTACCGACTTCATGTGAAATGTAACTTTTCTTGCCCGCAGCGTTTTCTTAAAAATGTGGACACTGCCTCAAAAAAGGTTGGAGATCATGTTCCTTTAAATTAAAAACACCACCACAAAACCCTGTACATAATCCAAGGCTTGACTGACCAGATTCATTATACATATGAGTTTCAGACTTATTTATTCCAAAAGCAAGAAATGCTTGCAGCTGTAGACCTACACTATGGAAAGGCTAGCATTTCAAGAATTATTATCAACACTTGCACAAAACTATAGTTTCCACAGTCATCTGCAGCAGAGGTCGAGAATGTGAGATGTTGTTGGACTGCAACATCCATCAGTCCTAGCCATTATAGTCAGTGGAGGGGAGATGCTGACAGTTTTATCCTCGCAACATTTGGAAGGCCTGGATGTTTTGTATCCCTGCTTTGGCAAGTTAAACACACCTCAAACAGGTTTAAATTGTAAAGTAGATAATGGCCTTAGGGTCAAAGGACTTTTTCAGACAGGCCAAAGGGATAGAAGCATAGCGGGATGCTCCCATCAGTGTCACGCAATTTGGCGAAGATCTTCAGAGGATGTCACAATAATCCTGTCCTTATCTCATGAATAAAGAGAAGTTTTCCAGGTGCTTTTCATTCATGGGGCTTTCCCATGAATGAAATGCAGCTGGAAAACTCTTTATTGATGGGATAATGACAGGATTATTGTGACATTGCACAATCTCATCTGAAAATCTTTGCCAAATCACGCAGCACTGACGGGAGCATCCTGCTATGCTCCCATCCTTTTTGCCCGTCTGAAAAAGTCCTTTGTCCCCTCCTGCCAGTTGTGTCTGCCCCTTGTTAGCCTTCCTAATGTACAAGACACAGGACATAAAATGCCTTCTCTGAGACACTCCTCCATTCACAGGAGGCAGCAAAAATAAATTCTGCAGCTATCTCCATGAAAGAATACCAGATGCAATCAAACTGCAGTACAACTACTTCCTATATAAATTACTTAGATGTTCATGGTTTCCAGAAATTGACATCACAGTAACATCTGTGTGGAGTAGAGTTGGGAAAAGCCCCAGCAAAAGTAACCAATCTTCGCTGCAGTTCATAAAAACATAGTTAGAGGCAAAATTTCCTGCACAGTTACCACAACAAGAATAATTGTGGGTTTTTTAAAAAAAACCAAAACCACGCATCATATGCTTTTGCAAATCCAAACAGTAGATATTATTCTCAAGAATTCTAACTTGAGATGAATTTTTAAAATGTAAAGTCTCTTTTTGTTTCAAATGGTAATAAATCTGACAAACCTTGTTATCGGCTCTGTAATTTGGAGATTTTATGTACACTTATCAATACTAGCAGTATGTCAACTTTTATCATGTCCCTAAAGAAATGCACTGCAGACCAATGCTACAAAATAAAGTGCCTCTGTAAGAAACATGATTCATGTGATGTACAGTATTTTGAAATGTGTTATATTGTAGTTGTCCATTCATTGCACTGTTGCTAATCCCTTGCTATTTTTGGTCTCTTTTCCTGTAGCATGTTTTTAAAATGATGTGTCTGCACCAGAATACCTATATTCTGTACTATGGCTATCTAATGCAAAATAAGGAAATTTTACATATTGTTTATGCAGACACCATGAGTAATGTAGTGATTAAGATATTAAGAGGTACCTAATTGGTTATAACAGATGTAACCTGAGGGTTTTTTATGTTAATGAGGAATTGCCATATGGCTTAAGATCTTCATGAGTGTTTATTTCTCGAAAGACTGCACATATGTTCACATATTATGTAAAGTAGCATATGACACATAGCTAAGCTACATTGATTATTTATTGTTGTATGCTTTCAAGTCACTTCTGACTTATGGCAACCTTAAGGTGGACCCATCATAGGGGTTTCTTGGCAAGATATGTTCAGAGATTTACATTGTCTGCCACCGAGGCTGAGAGCATGTGACTTGCCC